TCTGTGGCCTCTGCCCCGCCCCCACCAACCCCTGTGGCCAAGCTCAGCCAGGTCCTGGGTACCAGCTCTCTTCAGCCCCAAGTCCCCAAGCCAGGTCCGACTCTCAGGCAGGCCCAGAAGCCGCAATCTGTGTGGTAACTTGTGACAGGACCTTCCCGATGAGGTGACTCGGGTGCCTGGGGCTGTCCCGGGCCAGGGCGCAGGAGCGCGGGCAAGGTCCGGCCCTGCCGATCTGTGCAGACTACGCTCACACCCCTCCGGGTACCGATGATGTCCGCCTGCCCCCTGCCCCGGTCTCCAGCGTCCCCTCCTGTCCCCCGTTGGGCCGCTCTCTCTCCAGTTCACCCCCTCTCTGCCTCCAGATCTCAACTCCTTCCAGCAGACCTCGAAGTGGATCGATGACGTCAGGACGGAGCGGGGCAGCGACGTCATCATCATGCTGGTGGGCAACAAGACAGACCTGGCTGACAAGAGGTAGGCGGGGACGCCGGGTGCGGGCGGCGAGGCCGGGCCGGCCCTGGGGCAGGTTCTGGTGTGGGCTGGCAAGCCTGTGCTTCCCGCCTGTCTGCCCAGGAGCCTCATGGCCACGTGGGCCGCCTACCCAGAGTCCCAGCTCCAAAGCCCCGCGTTCGCCTCCGGGCTTGGTCTGTCCAGCAGGACGTGGTCGAGGCCCGCCAGCACCATGGTGCAGCCCAGACACAGCAGAACCCAGCCCCGCTAGCTCCTGCCCCGGGACGCGCCTGCTCCAGGGTGCGGAGGTTTGGCGTCTCGCTCCCAGGTGTGAGCGGCATGTCTGGGCCACATGCTGCCATCCCGGCCCTCGGTCTGAGTTTCCGCAACCATGGCCACTCAGCGTGCAGGTCTGGCCTAGGTGCCACGCTCCATGTCTGTCCACAGCCACGGCCACTCAGCGTGCAGGTCTGGCCTAGGTGCCGCGCTCCGTGTCTGTCCACTCACCTCACATGACCTGGACTCAGGTAACGCGGTAGGCCTGGACCCAGCAGCAGTGTGGACTTCCAGCCACGTGCCCTGCCACCTAAGGCATCGTTGTGAGAGCCACTTCAATAGATTCCTGTTCTTGAAGAGAGGAAAACTGGGTTCAAACCCCAGCAAATTTGCTAAATGCTTTGTGGCCGTTACACTAACTGCTGGTCCCGGGAGAGTCACTTTGAACCTTACTGTTGTCATTTGGAAAGTGGAACTGATAATGCCACCCAGAGAGGCAGTGTGGGGCTGGAAAGTCGAAGTCACAGTCGGAAAGGAAGGCAGGTCCGGGACAGCCACCCACCCGGGGCCTGCCCCAGGCCTGCTCCTGAGCAGAGGACACTGGGAGGGGTGGGGAACAACTGGTGCCTACTCGTGCCCCATACCCCCCTGTCCTGGAAGGGCCCCCTGCACCCGGGTCAGACCCGGGCTCCATGGCTGCTGCAGGGCCTGGTCAGCCTCTCCTGCCCCGCTGTAGGCCAGTCCTCAGCTCAGGTTACTCTCCCACCTCTGCAGGGCTGCTCCCCCTCACCTGATCTCCCTCCCGCTTACCCCAGGCAGATAACCATCGAGGAGGGGGAGCAGCGTGCCAAAGAGCTGAGCGTCATGTTCATCGAGACCAGTGCGAAGACCGGCTACAACGTGAAGCAGGTGAGGACGGGCTGCTGCAGGTCCCCGCTGGCCTGGCCACGGAGGCCCTGGCCGGCTTCCAGGGGTGCTCCGCCTCAGACTTCCATCTGCCTTGCCCCGCGGGCTAGTGATTGAGCTGGGAGAAGCAACCCGAGCCCGTGTAATGTGTCCCAGTGAGGGGACAAGCTAAGTTCCCGAGCTGGTCAGGCGTGCCAGAGGGAGGGACCCTTCGCTCCTGGTCACCTGGAGATGCCGGCGCCAGTCACCACAGCAGCACTCCTCGCCGGCCGGACGGCAGGCTGTCAGGGTGTCCAGCCGCCGGCCTCCATGGCTCCCTGCTGTCACGCCTCCCTTCGGATGAGCGAGCAGACGTCAGCCCGGTCAGCCGTGGGAGCCCGTGCCTGCTGTTCAGCAGTGCTCAGGGCCCTGAGGACGGCGCAGGCTCGGAGCCCCCGAGGGAGAGGGTGTGGAGCGGAGGCCGAGCCTCGGAGCAGGGGTGCTGACCCTGGCCCTCGCCCCAGTTAGTCCAGGGGCGGGACTCAGCCAGTCAGCAGAGGGGCTGGACACGACTCCACCCTCCCTCCAGCGCTGAGTAGGCAGCTCTTCTCAGTGGTGGTTGCAGGCCCTGGGGCCTTGTCACCGGTGTAGTCGGCGTTCATCGCCTCGCGGTGCGGCCAGGTCTCACATGCCGTGGGACGTCGTGTTGTGGCAGGGACATGCATGCCGTGGGACCCCGTGGTGCGGCCGGGTCTCACATGCCGTGGGACCCCGTGGTGT